AAAGTGTAGGCCCTAGGGGGGGTGGGGCGGCTAGTAGTAGTAGTAGTAGTAGTAGTAGTAGGTAGTAGTAGTAGTAGTAGTAGTAGTAGCAGTAGCAGTAGCAGCAGCAATAATAGTAGCAGCAGATGATAAGTAATAGAGAATACCTTACGGTTCAATCTGTAATACAGGCAGTAAAAGAAATGGCAGGATCCGGCCTTTGTTCCCAAAGCTTTAGGCGCCGTGCTAGTCTGTGTCTTGACAACAATAGCAAACGCAATGCGAATACTACAGGCTACACTACTTAAATTCATTAATTTTGAGCGCGATGCCCGTGTTCCCATGTCCTGCTGCTAAGGACCGAGACATTGAGCATTTCTGGGTATCTTGTCTGAAGATGATGCGCGAATCCCTGAGGTAGGGCTGGGTTCTGGGTTGAGGGTTCGGAATGGAGGAATAAAGTTGATCCCGACAGTCACTCCTGTTGCACCCTGAATAATATACAAGCTGTAGTCTAAACTCTTTCAGGGTGGTTAGATCGGGGACTGTATAGGGTTCCTATTATAGGGCTCATTAAAAGGGATACTTGGAGTTTACACTACGGCTCATATGGCAGTTTGAACGTTCTGTCCCCTTCATTCATTCCCTAGGAAGAGCTGGCAAGAAGATATAGTCCCCCTTCAGTAGATAGAATATGGCTTCTGGTATATTATAAAAAGATCCCCATATACCCCACATGCTATCTACCCCGGGGGACCATAGATGAAAAGGGCCCAGGGGCAAAGGGCTGAGGATTTTTGATTTCGGGTTTAGGGGCTTAGGGTTTAGGGTTTAGGGGTTTAGGGGTCTGGGGTTTAGAGTTAGGGTTTGGATCCTAAGGTAGAAGCCTAAGTTCTTATCTGGTCCTAGATTCCTTAGACATTTTCAGAGGGTACCCCAAACATACTTGGAACTGATACTTATTGGGAACTATTCAGATTAGCATCTCATCCTTACCTAGCTTGAGCACCAGAGACACTACTCATCTGAGGGGCTCTTCACCTCCTACGACACCAAAAGATGCGGAGTTCTCACGACGGAAGAATGCACCAACCTCCTTGCTGCTCTAGGCGATTGCAAATTAGGGAAGAGTAGGTCCTGGGCTCTTTGAATTGGGGATCATGACACAGGCACGGATTATCTAAGGCTCAGGGATCAAGTCGTGGGGCTGGGGATCCTCCAGTAAGGATCGGAGGGGCAGGGGGTCCCAACTCCAACAATTTGAAACGCTTCCAGGCGGGCAAAACAAAGGAGTTGAAAATCCTAAGCAGACTGGATCTGAGAGCCTTGTTGCCAGTCTCCGTTGGGTCTATTCGGTCAAGACTTCGGGCCTTGACTGTGTCTGGCCCATTGATGGAAGATGAGTGTTGCCGGCATCATGCAAGGAAGAATCCAGGAGTTGGCGTTAGAGACGTAGGTTTCAGGGCGCAGGCCAGCGGGCAGGATGTGATCATTTCTCATGTGTCTATGATGCTCAAAGACCCCACACCAAGTGTTGCGTAGCTACCCAGCATACACTCCATCCATCAGCAAGAGTATGTTAGGACCGTGCCAAGAATCCTCTGCTTTGCTCTAGGGCAGCGCCGAGAGAAACCAATGCCTCGACCCCCAACGTGTAAACCTTGGCCGTCCCCGGCAGCCAACCCCAAAACAGGGCGTCCATCAAGGGTTTCCACATGGCTATAATCTTGCTGAACCCGAAACCTCAAACTCTAATTCTTTGCAGTCATTGCCGCGCCTGCGCTGCTGTGCGATGCGCGTGTCTAAGCCTTTGCAGGCTTTCATGTCCGGACGGTGGAGGAGCAGCAGGATCTCAAAGGGCTGCTGCAGCAGGCCTGTAAACGGGGTTTAGGGTCTAGGATCGCAAGCCTATGTAGGGGTATGTAAAGCTATCAGGCTTGTAATGAGATGGGGTCTCGGGTAGGGGTGTAGGGGAATGGAAACACATGGAAGCTACCATGTTCTTTTGGGTTTAGGGTTCAGGCCTAACAAGAAACCCTCCGCCGATGATGAATTCCCGCAAGAGATACTTGATGCTCATGATTTATAAGCAAGGGGGGGGGTGGCGATTGCAATACTAAATAGGGCAGAAGGTGGACCCCAGGCGGGAAATATCCCCATGTCGCCGCTTATCGGAGAACTTACTACTTCAATGCAGGTTCATAGGTAGTTGTAACAGAGCTTACAAGTCCTAACAAAGCAACTAACTCAGTAACATCAGTAACAAGAGTATAGTCCTCTTGATAACAACCCTGCTCCTAACTACCTATGAACCTTCAAGTATGTCTTGTGCCGTCCATTTTGTCAGGCGCGGAATATCGCAGAAGCTGCGGGGGTTGTGATTGGGCTGCATCTGAAGATCTTCCAGAGAAAAGGATTCAGGTTTTACGCGACCATTTGGTGACCCAGATCCCATCGCCCAGGGCGCAGAGGAACCAAACTCTGCTTGAGTTTCTGTCATGAATAGCAAGGCAGTCGATGTGGGCCCACACATTGAGGCAACTATTTTTTTTAATTATTAGGGTGTGTTCTAATGTTTTCGTCGATTCTTGCATCCGAACTGGTCCAGACTTGCATCCAGACGTGATAAGATGTTCGAAGGTAGCCTCTTTGCAAGCCGCTGAGGACAGCCGAAACGACCAGGGAAGCGTGAACTTCTATGTCCTGTTACAGCTGTTCCTTGACTGCCCTCACAGCAGGGGATGCCGGGCTTACAAGAAGGGGAAATTTCAACCGGGCTTTGTCTGGTGTAATCTCATTTATGCAGGCTGTAATCGCTCCAAGTTGCTTGGGGCATGCTAGGCCATGGCAGCCACTTTGGGGAGCCTTCCAACCCGATAAAAACAAGCCCCATGACCTGTAGATCGTCCACAAACGCAGGTGGAAAATGGTCCTTTACATCGCTTGGGTAAATCCCCCTTACAGTACCTGTCCTTTAGGGGTCTTTTTTGAGGGGCTATGATAACTACTCAGGCTCCAGGCACTCTTCGTGAACCACGAGCGAGAAGCCGAAGCAGAGCTTACACAGGCCGCTGGTGGCTGTCATCATGGGGTTGCTCAGGTTCATTTTCTTACAGGGATTCCTAGGGAATAAGCGACTATATTATATGGGTACTATTATAGGGATTCTATTCCCTTATTCCTCTTAGCCCTGCTTAAGCATTGCAAGTCTCTAGTTTGCCGCGGTTCTGCTAGCTTCTTGGTTTCTGGTTTGCGGTAATTCTGCAAGTTTTCAAGCCTGCTGCAGCAGTCCCAGTCTGTAGTTTTCCGCGGTTCTGCTTCTTGCTCTTCGTTTCTGGATGCTTTTTGGGAGTGATTATGGTAGTTAATGTAGGGGGGTCCGCTTCTGGACTTGAATACTGTTACTGTACGGGGTTTTAGTGTTGGTTGGTTTACATTATTAACCTGGACACGCCAATTGCGGCGGGAGTCTCAATGCCCGCTCATGTTGTGATGTCTCGTGAGTTCCCATAGAGGCGGGGAAGGGGCTCACGCGCTTTGCTGGCGTGTAGTTGTCCTGAGGTCTTAGCCATGGGTGAATGGACTTGTTGCAGGTATGGCAGAAGAGCTTGCCAAGAGAGTTTTGGGGGATTACCGTTTCCCATTTTCGTCCTCCTGATACGGGTGGGTTGGGCCTGTGCGCGGCCTAGTGGAGCAGCTCAGTTTGCAGGGCACACGTGTCTACTTTGGAAGCCGGAATAATTAGAGATATTGTTCCCCTCTAACCCTGGTATAACTCTGGCAGAAGATAGATCACAACCAAAATTGCAAAGGCCCCTACATTTCCGCAAGACTAGAGTCCGGCCAGAGGAGATGGTGATGGCAGATTCGCTGTGCACATTCTTATCTGCCCATCGTAATGCGAACCCAATCAACAATCAAAACTGGAAAGCCCACATACATGGGGAAGTAGCAGTCAAGATTGTACGAGGAATCCTCTCGATATATGGAACTCTTGATGCGACACCCGGTGTTGTGGCTTTCAAAAGATGCGTCAACTTTTGACAACCGCCCACATGATCTGTTCAGGTTGCGGAAGAGGCAGATTTCAGCATGAGCGAGGTGCCTTGACCCTGCGTTTCAGTACCGCCCGAAGTCTCAGAGGGCCGTGCTTCTGGCAGATATGGCCTCACCGGGTTTGCGATGACGACGCCCGGATAACTAACTGCCCTCCATCCCAGCGCCAACACCTCGGATTAGCTTATCTTCTTCCTACTGTGCCTAGCAGCTTTTCCTCTCTTTCTTTGGCTATTCCCCAAAACCCTGATTGAGAAATCTGTTTACTCAGCCATGGAAGTCTGTCACGTGAAGATTGCAGGACGATTTTTGAGTCCCGGAGGCCTTGTTCCGTTGGATTGACTTGCGCCCTCAGGTTACAGAGTTCCTCGACATCTTTTCCCAGTACTGGGCGGAAGAGCTCCTCCCGGGAGAAGCCGAGAACCCCAATAATCGACTGACGAAAAAGCGCCTCTTCTGCAAGTATGGCCAGTCAGGCTTCTACGCTTCTTGTTCCCAGACCTAGTCGGTACCTACAGTTGTGGCAGTGATGATATTGCAATGTCGCACTTATCTTGGTATCAAAAGGACTGTATGCCTGCTAGATATGCCTTTTCCATTATCTCAAGATAACCCCTATATAACCCTAACTAGTAGCTTCCATCTTCTTTTCCATTATCCTAATGTAACCCCTATATATTGCCTACATAGTAGGCATGAGCTACGGTTTCGGAAGCCGCACCAGTTAAGGAGCATCACAAGGACTGCATCCCGCGCACGCGCAACACCTCAAGCCCACCAGCGCACTGAGCCCCTAACTTGTAGACTCAAGAATCTAGGGTTCAGGGTACGGAATCCAATAGCTTTTTCATGCGGGTGGTTTACTGGAACACGTCGCAGATAATGTGTATGATGGCATGCGTGACGTAATCATGTGGCGTGGTCCATGGGTGCTGGATGTCTTGTGCAGTCCTGCAAAGTTAGATGTTGTCTTACGTTCCTTGTCAGTTCTGTTCCATTTTTGATGTCACGGTGGGGTCTTGCTGTCATCTTGGCATGTAGCGGACGGTTGAACCAGATATGTATTCGCATTGTAGTATGGCTTGCTGTGGAGTGACCCTTGCAGTCTTTTCCCGTCGTAAGCCTCGGCCTCAGTTTGGGCTTTAAAGGCTTGGTCAGGCAGCGGACTCTGACTTGGGCTTGATTAAGTACTTACTACAATATACTATAGGATACTCTCATATGATATACTATGATATACTGTGCTATAATATACTATGAAGTACTATGATATAGGAGAACATACGATAATGACCTTATAATATGCTAGGATATGCCGTGTCTGCCTCTTAGAGTCTGGGGTGGGGCCTGCGCGTACGCGCTTCCCAAAATTTCCTTTACTAAGCCCCAGGGGATGAAGAAGAGAAGTCAATCATTGTTGTATATTCTAGTAGATCCTGTTATACCCTTTTGAGTCAAATGATAGTATATTGTAGTATAACATAGCATACTATAGTACATTGTAGTAGATCTCTTTCTTAGTCAAATTATAGTATAGCCTAACAAATTATAGTATATTCAAGTAGATGACAGTAGATTACGGTAGAATATGGTAGATCATGGTATAAATAAAGTAGATGATCTTTTTTTGTAATAAAAGTACTTACACAGGCTGACTCTTGTTTAGAGAAATGCTGTGATTATTGCAGGAGTTCGGTCTACAAACTGCTCCGAGCGATGGGCATCCGACTGGACCCTACGCTGAAGGAGCACCGGACTGCTGTTTTGTAACTTCAAAACTTAATATTTCCTTATATAACCCACGCAATATAGTAGTTTCCATTTTCTTTTCCATTATCCCTATACAACCCCAATAGAATCCTATAATCCCTATATGACCCATTATAGTAACGACAGCCACCTGGAGGACTTCCTGTTGAGCCCTAAACCAAGAAGGAACCCAATGGGGTTTAGGGTTTAGGGGTTTAGGGTTTAGGGTTTAGGGCAGATGTGCGCAAGTCAAGGTGACCATTTGAGATGGGTCCCTGGATTCCTGGGATCCCGGCAGAAAGATCCTTTTGAAATGTCCGCACGGTGTCAGTCTTCGAGAGGGCATGGTGCCCAGATCTGCTGGGATTATTTCTCAAAATCATGTGTCCCATCATGGCATCCTTCTAGGCAGCAACTTGGTTTTGCAAATGCCCGTGAAACCCTTTCAACATTGCTTTCAGAGAAGTTTTCGCACTAATAGAAAACGGGTGCTTTCCTGCGCTTCTCTGCGTCACGACTTGCCGTCTGGAATGCGCTGCTGAAGCCCTACACCCCATAGTATAGTCCCCCTTAAGTAGATAGAATACGGCGTTGGGTATATCATAATAAGAGCCCCATAGACCCCATATTCTTTCTACTTAAGGGAGACTATAGGGTTTGGGGGTTTGGGGTTTTGGGGTTTAGTGTTTATGGCCTTGGGTTTCAAGCCTCGAGCCCCGGTTCCCAGAAACCTAAACACCAACCCCATTGTGCAGGAAACTCTGGACAAGCAGGTTGCTCATCTGTCAGGTTCAGCTCTCAGCGCAAGGGATTCCAGGGTTTAGGGTTCAAGGGGAGGGCAAGGGATTCCAGGGTTTAGGGTTCAAGGGGAGGATAGATAAAGAGATGGATTAGCACATGGAAAATAGAATTTTCAGAGAGTTTAGGGTTGAGGGATTTGGGTCTTGCATTCAGGGTTAGGTTATGTTGGGTAGGCCTTCAAAAATACTTCATGGCGGGATTGCTCATGGGGGACCTTGATTTGCAGAAACGTCCATGCCGCACCCCTAAAATGCGAAGCCGTAGAAGGTAGTTGAGAACCAGTCACCATGCAAAAGTTCATGAGGATATTCATGGCATCCTCACCCCCACTTAACTCTAAGCCCTTATATAAGTACTTCCAGGAGTGGGGTAATCCAACATAGATCCCAATATACGTTTCTCCTTCATACAGGCAACCTTCAAAAAGGGTCCCCGATTTGGGAACCCCCCCAATCCTGGTAAGACCTAAGCATCTTGTCTTGCTGGATGTTGTATGAAAGGCACGGAAAAGACAATGGACTTTGTTTTTTTGGCGGGGTTACAGAAGGTCTACTATAGAGATCCTTCCATACATTCCTTGGTAACAACCTATAAATTCCTGTAAATTCCACCCCCCCCCCCCAAAGCTGACCTTTTCATGGGGATTGTTCAATTTCAGCAGTGTTCCGGGGCCCATTTTAAGACTGAAATGGCGAAGCTCTGCCAGTGGAGTAGCTGTTAGAAGCTGGCGGTAATGGTCATCTCAAACGCCGTGCTACAAGTAGCATAGCAGAAGCACCAGGCTCCTTCTTCTAGCTGTAGCGCTCGTTTAGGAAACCCACTACCCCAAATTTCACCTCACCCCACCCCCATGTACTATACCATTATCCCTATATAACCCCATAAGAGTAGTTTCCATTTCATTTTCCATGATCCCTATATAACCCCAATATCTTCCCTATAATCCTTATACAGTCACTACATAATCCCTATAACCCCTATACTTTCCCAATTGCAAAGCCATGGGGTTCGGGAGGTGAGATGCTTGATTTCTATAATTCCCTAAACCCTAATAGGACCCCTAATTCTGGAGGTGAGAGGCTTGATTTCCATGGTTTCCTCCGTCTCATGCGATGGATGGTGGAAGTCAACTTCGCGAATATCAACAATGGAGCGGGCCTCAGACGTGGCATCATGGCTTTGCACTGGGTGCTGTTGGGGTAACATTGGGATAATGGAAAATAAAATGGAAACTACTATATTATATACAGGGGTTTATATTGGGATGGGGTTATATAAGGATGGCATAAGGTCCTTGTGAGTAAGGGATTACAGTAGTACCCCCCCCCCCCTCCAAAGGTACCCAACCCCAAGGTTTAAGGAGCCAATGAGGACTATATAGGGTTTTAAATCTGGGCCCAGTAACAGTCTATATTAGGGGTCCTATCAAGGGCTATATACATAAGTATATTATAGTTATTATCCAACTGTTACTGAGGGGGGCGGCAGTACCCAACATCAAGGTCCTTATTAGTTTTTGTTTGCGCTGGGTGCTGTTGGGGTAACATTGGGATAATGGAGAATAAAATGGAAACTAATATTATGGGGTTATATAGGGATAATGGTATAGTACATGGGGGTGCTTATCAGCTTTTAAGGGGGCATAGGAAGGGAGCATCCTGTTCAGAAAGACCATGAGCTGCACAGAAGATTTTAAGGTTGAAGTGCAAAGTTTCAGGCGTAGAGATTGAATTGAACATGTCTCGGGCTTTAAGGATCCTGACATTCTCCATGATGGATCACTAAATTTGTATTTTGACTAGCCTGCTCATCGGCGTGCAAGAGACTACGTTGGCTGCTCTTTGGTGACCACTGTGCAATTGAGAGCATGCTTCCGTGCTGCAGGTGGCAATGCTAATGGATGAGGCACAGCTTTTGATTTGGCTTCATGTTTCACGCCCCTAGCCTCTGTTTTCCCAGGGCAAGTTTACACACTTTGGCTGTGCAAATACAAGTTGGCAGTCGACACTGCCCAGATGTTCGATCTTCGCAGTACAACAGAAGCCCGTAGAGGCCTGGGGTCCTGCCGTACAGGTACTTGCATGCTGTGCCGAGAATTTGGCACCGTCTAGTTTCGGAGTGGTTCCTTGGATCGCAGAATCGCTGCAAGTGTGCATGTGGAATTCGCTGCCTCGTCTGCCAAAGGCATTCAGGGACGGCCTCACGAGACACATGTCACCTGTTTCCCAAATTAGTTGCGGTCTCAAAAGAGTTCATTACATGAGTTCCTTTTGGCCCCCTTTTTCAAGAAGCTTGCATTGTGAGCCTTGAGCTACAAGGTAAACGCACCAGGCAAGGAAACATATGGATCCATGAAACTACAGCAGCTGGTAATCGCAGAGTCCGAATGGCATCGCCAACGGGAAGGATCAACACACAATTCAGACGGCTGGAATCAAGACCTCCTTCAGTTCTTGTAGGAAGTCAGTACCAGTTCCCCGCATTATCTGAGCCTGCCTATCACCTGTGGCAAACTTCATCACCAGTAGCCTTCGCTGGCTCAAGAGCGGAGACCTGGTAGGTCCGGTAGGCCTGGTAGGCTTGGAGATGGGCGCAGCCTGTCCGTGCAAGATTGGATGGGTCGGCTCGGCATCTCCTCGCTGGCTCCTGGGGCATTGTTAAACGTATCCGTCATCTTGGTCACTGACTGTAGTTGTTATTGTCGTTGGAGCCAGTTGCCGTCGTTGTTGCTGCTGCTGCTGTTGTTACAATACTGTTGCTGCTGTCGTTGCTGGTGATGGTAGTGGTCCGCCTCGCTCCGCTTCGCTCCTCCTCCTGCTACTCCTCCTCCTACGGCTCCTGCTGCTGCCAGGAATGGTTTCCATTAGTAGTGGCGCAACGTGGCGCAGCCAGCACGACCACGTACGGCAAGATTCCTCCTGCTGTTGCTGCTGCTACTGCTGCTGCTAGTAGCTGCCAGTAGTACTATTTCGGCCAATAGCAGCACCTGCCGCGACGACCACCACCTCAACGAGCACCACCGCGCTAGCACCAGCTGGTGCAAGAACCCTCCTGATGGCTTGCAGCTTCCGCAGTAGCAGCTGCTGCCTACGCACACTGCTATTGTTGTGTCAACCAACTTACATGAGCTATAGTCTACACTCCTGCAAGGGGATTATGCAGGGGACGATTATAGGGGTTTGTTAAGGGGGATACTAGCAGTTGAGACGATACTTCATATACCAAATAGTACCATTTCTCCGAGGCTCTCCTGAGTCTGCTTGGACCCTGCCTTGGCTGCCGCCGCTGGTGGAGGCGACCCGATGGGCTCTGGCTGCGGGAATCCGGGAGATGTCCCTGGCAAGGTCGGCCTGGAGGGTTCTCAAAATTTTGGGCTCTGCTTACCCCTATAGAATGGGATAATGGAAAAGAAAATGGAACCTACTATATTACATATATGGGGGTTATTATATTCCCCATATATGCCATAGTAGATTCCATTTTCTTTTCCATTATCCCAATATAAGCCGAGTATATTCCCTAAAATCCCTGCTGCCTGGGGGATGATCCAGGCTTGAGGCTCTGTTGTTGGCCCACCTTCGGGCATGACAAGTAAACGGCCCAGATGTGCAATCGAAGGTGATGTGTTCCAGCAGGGTGGGCAAAGGGAATTCCCACCAGAGTTCGACGGATTGAGTTTCCCAGCACCTCCACCGGGTGGAAGCGGAGACACATCGCTTGGATGAAGAGGATTCTTGTGTAGAAACGTCAGAGTGCACAACATACCTGAAGTGGCATTGGGTGGAACAATGCCCATAGCCACAGAACTCAGAAATTGAAAATTACACAGACGACAATCAAACCCAAGAGAAGTTCGTTGGTCATGACCTCGGCAAGTGCACCCCGGCTTAGGCCTCCTATGTAGGGCAAACGGTGGCAAACCCCGAAGTAAATGCCAGGGCATAACCTAATCGTCTCTTCCAGTTCCTGCGACTCTAGACCATAAACCCTAAAGAGTGTATACTGAAGTTTGGTAAGTTGCCTACCTTGCATCAACCCTCAGCACAAACTGCCCCCATTTCAGGCCCGAATAGCCTCTGCCTTACACCCTAGGCCCTGAACCCTACATAAGGCACCAGAAAGGTGAATAAAACACAGAACTCTACATGGTAGTCTCCCACAAAGGGGGACCCCAACACAGACCCCACAATACTGTAATCCTTATGATGGGGACCCTTAAAATGGTACCCCAAATTTTGGGAAGCCCCCCATACATAAACCCTAAACCTAACCCACCGCAGGTGGGGGGTCCCTCTGGGGCGAGCTGGAAATACCCAGTGAGACACTTGACAACCCCTGGCTGAACCCAGTGGAGGACTTTTTGAGGGATGCTATGGTAATAGTAGGATGAGTAGGAGGAGGAGGAGGAGTAGTAGTAGTAGTGGTGGTAGTAGTGGTAGTAGACGGATGATGGGTTGATGGATGGATGGAGGGATTGTTGCATCACTGTGCGCCCCAAAGCCTTTGTAATTCCCAGGGTATAGGGCGTATGAGGTAGTGCAAAGGTGAGAATTTCATCCCGGGCTAGCTAGGGAGCGCAAGAGGGTCCCTTAAGCCGCAGTTGTGCAGGTGCACATTTTCTATTCATGTTCAGCCACGGATCGTTAGGTACAAGCCAGGGATTTCCCAGATGTAGGGCAAGGTTTGGGTGCGCTTTCTTGGAAGGACATGGGCCATGGAGGTGTGACGATTACCGTGGAGCTGGAGAGGGAGGGGCGTGCGCTTTATGAGCTGGGCCCATCTGAAGGGGGAAATCCTTCACAACTAGCTGATCGATTTGCAAAGCTGGGCCAAAGGTGCTCGAAGGCTTCGAAGCCGCGACAGACTGACTGCAGCCCTTTTGCTGGCAGCCTCCAGGCAGCATCCAACCGGATTGGGGAGAAAGCCTGCCAACATCCTGAAGCAAAGGAGGCCAGGGCGCTTTTCTGCCGCTATCCCCCGCGCTTCTACGGCCACAAAGGTATTTGCAATCAGTACTCGCAGTTCTGTCCTTTTGAGGGGCTTCTTACAGAGACGAACCCTTTGTTTATTGACACAGCAGTTGTCAACATCGATGCTGACATGTTCTACTCGATGGAGGAACCTGGGTGCAAATAGGTTTCATGGTGCCAGGGTGTGCCCACTAGTAGATTGATTCCAGCAATGTTTTTGTGGCCTCATTTGCCGCGATTGTTGGCCGGAGTTGTTGGATTGAAAGTAACTGCAGATACCCGCGCTCGACTCTAGCTGCTTTGCTTGCTGTCGTCGGTTCCTTGCGTGCCTCAATCTAACCAGTTCTTGTCAGTCCTACGCTTGTTAATTTTTAGTAGGAAGCTATACTTGTAACATGTTGAAAGATACTATAGTTCATTGAACTTTACTATCGTATACTATAAGATAATATTAAAGACGTTTGCAGATATGCAGATTATGTTGTTGATGCTTTCAAAGCATATATTCTGCCCCCTGTATGAATATGGAGGTCTGGGAGGTACACCTCTTGACTGGCGTTGCTGTGTACATTTACATTGCAGTCAAGCCAGCCTGTGCCATTTCGATTGGAGATGTAAGGAATGCGGAGTTTTCCAAAAAGAGCTTTGGATATTCAAGGTGTTCGTGCACTGGTGCCCGCATTGCCAACAGCTGATGCCCCGCCTCTACCAGCTAGCACTAACCTTGCGCCAGCGCGGGGTCAATACGCTGCGCTTCGGTGCTGTCAACTGTGCCACCGAGCACGAGCTGTGTGCAAAACAGAACTGGCCTGGCCATCCCTTGCTCGTTGCCCGCTACCTGGGGTCAGACAGGGCAGTGCATGATGCTATCGAGCATTGGGTGGACGTTGTGAAAGACGCGCAGCTGCGGCAGATGCTGCCGCGGTATGCACTTCCCGGAGAGTTCCCTGTTCTGAAAATTTTGCTGGAACAGCTGCCGAAATCCATGCTGTCTAAGGCCTCCTGGTCCCCCTTGTTTGAGGCTGATGCTGAGCAGTCGAAAGCCGCGAACTGTGCTAACTTGACGGCTCTTCATCCGGAGTTCCCTGAAGCAGTTGACGAACAAGTTGGCAACGGCTGGCATGATGTCGAGCGAAACTTCACGGTCAAGCGCAGATGGATGGATGCAATGCTTATGCTGCGGCACATCTTTCAGGAGTGGATTGCTCCGGTTGGAGATGATGGCAACGTTGACGCTTTTGCTCACAGCCAGCTGCTGGTCATCGAGCCGTGGGTGGAGCTGTTAGCCAGGAATCTTCCAACAACTTTTGGCCTCGCAGAGGTTCTGCAAGAATTACATAGGTCCTTGGTACAGCGGGTGCGTGCTTCCCAAACATCGGAAGGCAGTTCGCTTTGTGCAGACGAGTGGAAGGCGCTGACCACACCCTTGCTGGATCGAATAGCCGAAGTGGGCCAACGTGACTTTGCTGTGGCTTCGGCCTGCGCCTCTGACACCTGCCGGATGTGGAGCCTGCTTCACATGCTTGCTTCTGAAGGGTTGAGGCGCGAGCAACTGCCAAGAAAGAATTTGACGACGCCGGCACCTTCCGCCCCAGATGTGTTCCTTAGCCGTTTAGAAATTTTCCTGCTTGTGTTGATTCAGGCCGAACAGGGAGTGCCTACCATAATGTCTCTCAAGCAGCTGTTGCTCAAGTAGCCATGTTTACACCAAACCTCCGGTGATGCGAAGCAGGCTTGTCCTAAAGCCGTTGTCGGGAACGTTTTTGGAGGTTGTGGACATGTACAAGTGCTGCTTAGGCTTACTGGAGGTTAGTAGGGAATAAGGGAACATAATCATATAATCCCTATATTATAATCCATTTCTACTACATTCCCTTATTCCCTAGTAGCCCCCAGTAAGTAGGCGCTTTGGAGTTACATGAGAGATTTCTTTCCACCATGAAAGCCGCCCCAGGATGATGCAAACTGTGCATGGCTTCCTGGAGCAGTTCTTCAAATGCCACTACTGCAGGCGACACTTCTTGAAGAACTATGAAGCCGCTGGGTGGCCCTTACACCGGTATTAAACCTCCCCACCCCCCTAACATTAAATATCCCAATATATTATAGAATATTACGATGGGAGTATTTCATGTCATGGGGTGTGATAAGGTTTAATATTGGGGGGAGGGGATTACGGGTTCTGAGGCCTTGGACTGCAAGGGCTGGGTTGAAGCCATTATGGCTTATGTCAAAAATGCAGTTCCGCAGCAAACCCTGAAACATGACAGGGCTGAGGCACACAATCCTGCAAGACCTCAAGTGTAATGGCCACGGTTCCCACGTGGGGGATCGACCCAAGTCAACCCTAAAGCCTAAACCTTCCAGCCTGAACCCGAAAGCCTAAACCCTAACCCTAAATCCTCAAGCCTAAACCTTAAAGCCTCCACCCTAAACCTTAAAGCCTAAACCCTGCAGTACTGGAAGCGACCCAGGCGGGATCCTTTGGCCGCGATGTTGCGTTGGGTTCCCGAGAGCAGGCTACCCTCGTAAGTGCGTGTTTGCCTTAACCTCAGACGAATAGCAGGCATGATATGAGCTGTAGTCTAAACTCCTTAAAGGAGGGTTATATACAGGACTATCATGAAGGGGAACGCAGAAGTTTAGACCATGGCTCATATGGTTTTTTTGGGAGTATGTGAAGATACCTTCCCGAAGCCAAAAGAACTCCAGTGGAGGTCGTCCTGTACCTGTGGCGCTTTCATAACGCCGTCTCTGTCCGGGTTACTGCCTGGCACGGCTGCAACACCACGGACCTCAGGGGGTCCCTGAACCTGAAACCCCAAAATGGTAGTAGCATCCTTTTTCTTTTCCATTATCCTTATATAGTCCCTATATAGCGCTTATATGCCCCTGCTCCTAAATAATGCCCCCAAGTCAGTGGGATGAAGCCAGGTGAACAGTCATCCTGACACCACAAGTATATACCTTCCTGTGTCAGCTGCCTAACTTCATCCCTCAGCTCACACCCTTTGATGGGCAAGACACATGTTCCATAAAATGAGGGGCCAAAGAATAAGGGTGGGGCTTAGGGTTTAGGGTGGCCTCCCTAGCTAGGGGAACTACCAAAACCTACCAAATCCCCTTGAATCCTGCATGATCGTCACACCCGCCTGAACCCCAGTTGTCGTTGAGACCCTGGAGGACAGGCGTTGGCCACCGTCAGCGCTGTGCCCCAGGCTAGCGTTGCCAGAAATACCCAGGGAGCCCAACATCCCTCACTTGAGGAATAGTCTAACCTCCTACAAAAGGGGTAGACGGGATTACGGGATGATATGGGGGACCATTACAGAGGCTATAGTTAAAACTGCAGCTCAATTCAGGAATATACCCTTAATCATACAGGTCATTTGACTCATTCAGGGGTATGCGGCTCTCTAGGCAGGTGTTTACGGAGTTTTAGGGTGTTTAGTGCTTAGCTGTCTTCCATGCCGACAGGTTTGTGATGATTGAGATTTTTCAGAGCCTTTTGGGCTGAGGTGGATGGAGCTTCAATCTTAGTTTGCCACGAGTAAGCTCCCTAAACCCTGAAAGAGCAACCCTACACCAACAAAAGATCACAGACTCAAAGCTGCAAACATGATGCTTGAGCTCTCAGAGTGAAGCTATGCAAGGAAATATATAGGGTTTCTGGCATTGTTTGTGATATTATGGGGGTTAATCGGGCCTATGTAAGGGGAACTCCCCTCCGGCGGTCGTCTTCTTCCTAAATTGCACCTTTCCAGTACTAAACCCTAACCTTTTTTACCTCTATATAATCCCTACACCTATATAGCCCCTATACAGTATATTCCCCCCGTTCCCTAGAATTTATTCCTTCATTCCCTACTAACCCCCAGTAGGAAAGGAGGCCTGCGGGACGATAAGGTCCCTGGAGCCCTATTTGCTTTGGAGCCCTTGAGGGTTTATTTACGGTCAGGGGACCTTTGATAATGGAAAAGAAAATGGAAATTACTATAGTATTGGGGTTTAGGTGTTATATAGGGTTTATATGAGGTTTATATAGGGATAATGGAGAAGAAAAAGGAAATTACTATAGCATTTGGAGTTTAGGATTTAGGGTTGGAGGTTCAGGGGGACTTAGTAGGTAGGTTAATAGCCCGTATAACCCATATAGGAGCCCTAGTTATCCCCATTATTAACCTATTTCTGAAGGCCCCCTGACCCTCCAAGTGGGGTATCCTTGAGGTGCTGGAAGCCTACGGCGGATGAGTGGCCAGTGCTGTCCCCTTGCCAAACAGAAGCCCTTTATTTCTCTGGAAGCTCGATGGGGATACCCCACTGCCCCGTTTTTGAACTTTTTGAAGCTGTAAGAGTTTTCACGAGAAGAGGTGCTCTCCGAATTATGTTCTTTCGCGCTTTTTTTTTGGAGGGTGGGCGGGTGGGTGTGGGTTGTTTTTTTTTTCGACGCAGTACTTTCCACCATAACCCTACACCCTAAACCGCCGGGTTGATGGTTGACTGTTGGCCTGCATCTCAGTTGCTCTTAGCCAGATTCTGCCAAGTTCGAACTTTGCTATGCCGTCAGCGCCATGCAAGTGGCAAAAAACATCGCGTCACAGTTTCCGTTTCATGTTGTCTGGTTGCCCGCTCTTTGCGGGGAGGGGACTGCCAGGCTGGCAGGTTACAGTCCTAGATGGCCAAGGGAAAATCTACGATATAGTAGTTTCCATTTTCCATTATCCTTATATAACCCACATATTACCTCGATATACTATAGCAGTCATAGTAAGAACAACAGTACGATTAGTAAGGACAGGAAACCAAGAAATCAGAATCCCTTTTTGGAGCCTCATTGTGGGACCATACTATTCTTGGTTATCAGAACTTGTCAACTTGTTTCGCTCGTTTCCAATTTCTGCCCCAAGTATTGATTCACATCAGTTATGATTATTCGTGCACGCAAACGGATGCGGTTCCGCACTCCCGAAAACAGCAGATGCCACCGTATTCAAGCCCTCTCCAAACCACCTGCTACTCAGGTCTGAAGCCAAGGATGTTGTCCAGGGCGGTGCTGCTCGCGCGCTAGACTTGGCGGCTTCGCCTGACGAAGAAGAGGTTCTCAAGTTTCTGCAGTCGGCCTTCACAGTGTCGGACCAAGAGATGTGACAAGAGCTTCAAAACCAAAGGGTCCAAAACCACGAGCTGATATGCAGCCTACGATGCCGCTGCTGGATTAGGTAGCCGGAACTCAGCAGTTATCAGCAGGTCTTCGACTTTGCAGGGGCCAGGAGGTTCGAGCTCCTCATGACTGAGGTGGAGGATCCTAAGATGTTCCTCTGGTGCAGAGGGCCGCGGTGCGAGCTTCGGGATAAACCGGCGTGTACTATCCATGTGACTTGAGATGGGCCCATGCGACTCTTTGGACACACATAACGCGGCTTGAGTGGACTGCTGCTGTGTGTACCGCAATATTTGGCTTCAATGATGTCTCCGCAGACATGTGGGTTTAGCCTGTGGTAGCAGAGGGGGAGTAGAGCAGCAGAGCTAGGGGCGAAAAGCTCCGGGGAGTAATCGGCCACAATCAACACCTGATATGTGCCATTTTGATATGCCCCGTCCCTGTCATAGTTCTTTTCATATATCCGCTTGCTGCTTCTGTTTTCAGGGCAGCTTTTAAAGCCTAGAGTTTCCTGATGCCGTGGGTTCCACGCATCAGTCCAAAGGAGGACGAGGAGGTAGAAGCGCCGGCGTCAAAGGCATCGGAGTTTGAAACTTCAATTTTAGGGTTCGGTTTAAGGTTCAGGGTCCTATGACAGGGAATCGCCAAAAACAAGCATCCATCAAACCTTTGGGTTTGAGAATTTTGGTAGTTTCCCAAAATAGGGGGACCCCAATATAGACCCCAAAATACTATAGTCCTTATGTGTCCTTATTATAGGGACCCCCAAACCTGGGAAACCCCCATTTCGGTTCGGTGTGAGATTAAGCCTCAGCAAGGTGCAAAGGGTGTCAGCCTTGGTGCTTTTGGCTTTGAAAAGTCAGGGCTCCTTGCGGAGTCCTGTGTAGGGACCCTCGCGTTGATAAGAAGAGACCTCTTCCCGCAAACGGAGCAATGAGCATCTGTATACATATATATATAGATATGTTTATGTATATGCATGACATTACATATATACATATACATATATGTGGATATGTGTCGCAGCTTGCTCGGGACATGGTGTCGTCTTGTTTGGCAAAATCATGTGCACAATTATGACCTGTTTGGCAAAATCATGAGCACAATTATGGCCCGATACAGTTCTGTCATGCATGCTCACTCGTAGTTGCAGTGTTTGAGGTTGCTTTTCTCGAGATCATTACTCATTCTGCACTCAATCCTGCGCTGACTGTGCCGTTGTTGCGATGGTGACTTGTATGACGTATGATTGTTGTACCTACTTTCTTGTTCTGATGGCCGATACCTAGCAACTGTCCCCCCCGTCTCTGCTGCGAGCGAATCCAACGGCAACTTCAGAGCACCATGAATCCAGGCAACAGAAAAGGCAGAAAAGGCTTCTGCATCACGTGGCTTGGGCGCCGAAAGCAGTCTCATCACATGCATTTGCTAGAGCCATTTGGTTTACGCTCATGATGGTGGTTGCTCGGGTAATGATAGCTTAACAGCCCTTTTGCCTGGTGGCAGTAGTTGCTGACAGCAACTTTCAGTTTGCTGGTTCTTCATCCTTCGGGTCGGGCATCGTTTCTGTGAGCCTACCCTGGTTCAGACTGATGCTTTGACTGCTGAATTCTTGCTAAGATAAGGTGCTCAAAGCGAGAAGGCCTTGTCGTTCCTTGTTACGCGAGGGGCTGACTTGTGGTTGGAGTCTCGGCTGCAAGTTGGGTAATAGATGCAGGAAAGGTTGTGTTCACTCCCAATTGTGCATCATGGTATGCCGCTGCCTTCTTTGCCGAGCCTCTGTCATAAATGGAAGCTAGGTAGGAAAACTTCCGAGTTTTCACCAGGTCATATCCCGTACTCCGTCCTCATTGAGCTGTTATTAAGACGCACATAGTTCCTACTAGACCTACCTAGCATGGAAGTTGCGGTATTGGATAGGCACATAGAGGCACGGCACGGCCCGATGCTTGTTCTCAGGACCTTCAGTCGCGCAAGCTATCTGGAAAGAAGCTGACGAAGTACCTTACTGATGATGTCTATGATGACGCTTGCCTGCAGGGCAGGGTGACGCACGACCAGCAAAGCGCCTCCTAGATTCGAAGGCAACTCCATCGCCCAATCCCATGTATTTGTTTCCTGAGTTTTTGTGCTCGAGTGCATGGTGACCCCTGCATATGAGCTATAGTCTCAGCTCCTTAAACGGGGGTTATCTAGGGGGATACTAGCAGTTTAGAGTTTAGAGTATGGCTCACATAGGGTAGGGCGCAATCCTTTTTGCCATGCTGTGCCCCACGGCCTGTCGTAGTTACTTTGAGAGATGAATCGTAATTGCTGTAATGTGCCTTCAGAGTATGTGCAAAAGGGCGCAACCTCTTCAGTCTCATGTGGATTAGGATTAAGTTTTTAGTCAATTCAAACTCCAATACAGGTCAACGTACAAGTACAAGATACACCGTGAAGAAGCATTCAGTAGCTTTCTATTCAGCAGACCCCAAGACCCACCCCTCAAGTTTTAGAACCTGCCTTATCGTGGCACGGAATTCCTTCCCAGTTTATTAGTACCAATCTAGCTGTTGCGCCCGGAGGTTATGTAAAGGCTTAAGGGCACTGGCCTGCAAAGCTTTTTTGCTTTTTTGCACTGGTTAGTTCCGTTTGGATTTTGTGGGCTAGGGCATGACTCACAGGAAAGTTAAGGTTTTCAGCTAGGGTGTTCTGTCTAGCTCCCTTTCAAGCCCTTGGTTTCGAGAAGCCCCTAAGCCCCAAAACAAAGCCCTAAACCCCTAAACTCCTAAACCCCTAAATCCTAAACCCTAAGCCCCTAAACTTTAGACCCCCCAACCCCCAACCCTCCTGACGAGGAAATCCGAAAGCGGCTCCAGAACCCAAAGAAGCCGGATCGACCATGTCTTGGGCTCAGATCTGACTCTGGGGTTAAGATACCATATGGCTGGTTGTCAAAATAATGGTCCTTTTTTTGGGTACCCTAAATATTAGGGGCCGTATTATAATAGGGATCCAAAAAGGGACCATAATTTTGACAACCATCCATATGAGCTATAATCTTAAACTCCTTCTAGGGGGGGATGATATGGGGAAGCATTACAGGGGTTATTAAGAGGGATATTAGGAATGTAGACTATAGCTCATAAACAGGGATCGGGGTTTAGGGTTGAGTGTTTAAAGTTTAGGGTGTAGTGTTGAGAACTTAAGGTGCCATACACAGGAGTTATACAGGTTTATATAGGGCCACGTTGGGTTCATATAGGGTTTAGGGACATGACCCTAAGAGTGTAGAGTCAAATGGAAACAAAAGTGAGAAGTGTCATGGAAATTACCATAGGGTTGGGCTTGCTGGGGTCTTTCTGGAAATAGTCTTTAATTAAATATTATGGACCATAATCCATCAGAATAAGATTTAAGGTTTAGGTTCGGGTTTAGGGCTGAAGGGGCTTTTGGGGTTGAAGCTTTAGGGTGCAGGATTTAGGGTTCGGGATTGAAATCTGAGCCATAGTCTAAACACTTTTGAAGGGGGTTATATAGGGGATTATATAGGGGTCTATAGGGGCGATCATGGGGGATGCCAGGAGTTTAGACTACGGCTCAGATGACGAATCTTCATCCATTTCAGCAACTTGGGTCAGGATGTGACATCCGAAGGGGTTGAGAATAGTACAAATGTTGCGCTCCTTCTGCAGGATGAGCATCCTCGATGATCAGAACCTTCTTCATCCATACTTGCCTTAGATGCTGAATTGGCATCAGCTATTCTTGTTTGAATTTCAAGTTGTGCTTCTGATCGAAGTGTGTCCAGCGAAGTGGCTGGAAAAATCATCGCGTCTCGGGCAACAGTTCTGCGGGTCGTGGTGTTTGTGTTTAGGAGCTTAGGGTTTGAGGGCTTTGGGTAGAGGACTTCCGGTGTGGGGCTTAAGGTTCTGGAGCTTAGGGTTTAGAGCTTGCGACCACTAGGAGCTTGACCAACTTGAAGCAAACGTCCCACTCATGATTCTTAAGATACAGAAACATGGACCATAGTATCATGCCTTGCAAGCACTACTTGGAGGGTCAGGGATGAGGGTTTCGGGTCTAATGTGCCTTCAGCAGCTAAGGCACAGCACCTTCTTCTGGCACTACTATCTGAGCTGAACGACCCAAGGGTCTTAATCAGACATTCTCGCTAGTGTGCGAAGTATATTCCTTCCATGTTTTTCTATCCATGTATATTAAACCCTAAACACCCCTGTAAATCCCTACATACCCCTATGATGCCTACGCTTCCCTGTTATCCTTATGCAGCCCTAGAATCCCTACGTAACCTTATAATCCCTAATTAACACAAGAATCCCTTTAGGGCCCCGTATGGCCACCCTGTACAAGTGGTATAATAAGAATATAAGAGGACCCTAATATAATCGCCCAGGATCCCTTATGATCACCATGATTGGGTGGGGGTAAACCTCCTTTGTTTTGGCCCTGCGGGCTGTTCGGTCCCTGAATTACCGTTCGGGCGCCGGTGGAGCATTACATGTCCCAATCGAACCCCAACATAACTCTATGTCCTCTTTCAACTTTAGAGACCCAAAACCCCCAATCTCCTAACTTTTATGGCCCTACTGCCAGCCAGAACATGGACGTGTGCAGTATTTAGGGTCCAGGGTTTAAGAATAGTCAGAAAAAAGGAAATGGGAATGGGGTCTGGCAGTCGCAAGGGCATTGCTAGTAGTACTGTCATGAAGAGTGATAGTGATGGCACTAGCAATGGCAAGAATAGTGGTAATGCTGATCATGATGCATGCCAGGCTGGTATTTTAATGTTGACGTCAGCGCCACTGAGCTCACTGCAGACGGTCTGCAGATCCTCGTGTCATTCCTGTGTCTCAGTTGCGCGGTTATTGTATGTGGCGGGCAGGCTGACACGTGCAGTTGTATTTAGAATCATCCTCGCGACGCTACCGTTTCATGATCTGAATCCATCGAGTCTTCTGTGACCGCCTTGCTTGCAAGTGGAAGGCTTCGTGTTGCAAGGGGTGTGGCGTGCTTCGCAATTACCACCTCTGTATGAAAGCTCCCGGCACGTTAGTCATATGCAGTCTTGATTTCTCCAAAATTGTCGCCTGGTTGAACTGTTTGACTTGGATTTCCACTTCCAGTACCATAGAGGTACTGACATGAATCGGCCAACGTTCATGGACGGGGTAATGCGACTCTGAACCAAGCACGTGGCTTTACGAGGAGGATCTAAAATCAAGTAGGGAAGCATTCTAAAATTAGCTTACGATACCCCCCTTGAATCATCACAAACTACAGAAGCGTTTTGTGATAACCTACCTAGACCTAGACTTCAATCCCTCCTTCTGTTCGTCAGCGCATCATCATAAGATTTGCACAAAAAGTGCTGAGTGCTATGATGGGTAAGATAGGTGAATTCTGTCGACAACATAGAAATGCTGCCCGAACCCTCAAAAACACACCTGAACCTGAACCCGATATGCCTTATGCTGGTTATTTTGCTGTCAGCGGTGCAATAATTCTATCATCTCTTACATTCCGCTTCTCAATGCCAAGGAAGCGTTTATTTGAGGCAGGGAAGGGCAGGAGCAGGGCAGTCCAGTGGCATGCATCCAGGAACTGCAGACTCAATGATGTGTTTCAGGGGCGAGTGGCTACAGTGATAATTCTGCTACCTTCTTGAAGTAAGAGCAGCTGTCCATGGCCTATCATCACCGACTTTTTTGAAAATTGCCCGGGGAGACTATTGAATCAGGATGCGAGGACGGTCAATTCTGGTAGTTCTATTCCCTGTTTGGCTGTTTAGGCATTGGTCCCAGGATCCCTTGCAAGAATCCCTAACTTCCCCGCCTAAATGTCCACATCCCAGACGTAGCGCGCGTCTCTTTTCAAAAGCTCATAGAGGGGGGACGCTCACAAAAGGCACCCTGGATATTCCTCCATCGGTCTTACTACTGCATGGTCCTGTGATCATTGCCTCCTCAGGCTTCGACAGGGCCCAGCAGATTTTGCAGGGGTCAACTGAGCCATAGTCTAAACTCTTTAAATGGGGTTATATAGGGGATTATATAGGGGACTACTACAATTAGGGGTCATTAAAGGGGAATACTAGGAGTTTAGACTATAGCTCATCTAGAATCTAGATGATGTACAGTTGCACAGACAATGTGTGTGGATAGCCCCCTATTCCAGCCCTAGAGGCCCGAATCCCGAATCACAAAACCCGAGCCCTGCAGAGCGAAGAAGCCGTGCATCTATTTTTCTTTCCTCTGAGTTTGCTTGTCTGAGTACTGCGTAATGTTGGCCCCTGTCTATGCTGGAAGTTGACGTCGACTTTCACATCTTCTGTGGGTGGAATAATCCTGCACCACCTGAAATAATTACTTTATACCTTACGAATGGCCTTACGGTATGTTGGAGATTTAAGATTTCCCGCGTGCACCGTAGCAAGAGCTCACATGGATGGCTAGGCCGGAGTTTCTAGACATGAGCCCTGCAGCGTCAGAATCAAATCCTACACTTACTGCTGGGAAATGGAAGGGGGAATCCCTGCAGTGGGCCCTACCCAAGAAAGATTCCTCGGATTGCTTTAGGCTTGTAACCCCAATATATACCTTACTAATATCCCTATATAATCCTAATATAGTCCCAATATAATCCTAATCTTACCCCAATGTCTATTCCTTGGTCCCTACCAGCCACAAGTCTGAAAACTTAGCCTCGCTAGGCCGACCCACCTGTTTGTGTCCACAGCCTGCGCTGCTACAACAACGGCAACCCGATTATGTATAGGGATAGTTAGGGAAATAGGTGATACTTTGGGGTTATGTGGGGAGTATATAGGGGATACTGAAGAAGAAAATGGAATCTACTGTTTAGGGTTTGGGGTTTGAATTTCATTGGCTGGCGCAGGGTGTAAGCTATGCGATTTCCCTCTTGGTGCACAGGAAGCTCTAGACAGGCTTGGTATGGGCTTACAGTACAAGTTCCTGACCCTAAACCCGAGAAATCAATCCTAGTACTGCTTAGAAACCCCCAAAACATCCCGTATGCAACCACTTTCAAGATTAGTTTGAGGTCTTTCAGGATTGAAGGCTTGCGGGTAGCAGGCCTCGCATCCCACTTGGATCGAGAGATGGCTGATGCCGACATGGGCTCATCCATCTTCGGGCTGAGTCGGGATAACATAAGTAAGTCTTCTCAATAAGATTGAGAAAGAGTTGCCGGAATTGCCTTGCAGAAGCTGCAGCATCCACTTGCGAGTTTGCGACGCCGCCCTAAACCCTCAACAGCAGCTTCCAGTTTCTTTTCCAGTAACATCCTACATAACCCTAAGTATCCCTATATAGTCTCCGCATAGCCCTCATATATCCCCTAGAAACTTTTTAAAACATACTCCCATGCACACTCCCTGTTTATGTAACCCCCTAAGCCCTAAACCTGAGCCTAAGATCTGGGTGATGCCGGAGCAGAACAGATTGCTGAGCTCATCTTGGCACAGCCCTTTGCTATGGCGGAGCTTCACCTCAGTCACAGCAGGCGAGATTCAGGAATTTAGGGGTTTGGGGTCTCAGGGGGTGTAGGATACTATCCGCAGCAGCCTAGATGCAAAAAGGGGCCATACATGTTGAGGGATTTGGGGGAAAAGACCATCTCCACATTCGCGCTCGGAGGTGTTACTTATGTTCATGAGGACTTCCGATGTTCTGTGTGCTTCGGCTGGAGCGGAGGAAAAGAGAAAAGCGACGGAAGATTCGAAGGCGCGGAAAAACGCGAAAAGAACACACAAAAGCCACGCAGATCACATCAATTTTTACCTTTAAGTTGTTTAACTTTAGTTGCCTCACAGTTTTCGGGGCCAAGATGGACATCACGAATAAGTTGCCCTAGAGCCTATACAGCTCTGAGGCTCAGAAGCGTTGCTACTTCTCAAGCTTTCATTGTGTGAGGAAGCGAGTTTGGGTTGATTGGGCCAAGGGCGTGGGCTGCTACGCTCTCTGAAATCCTGTGATCTGGTGATGTCCAATGAGCGCCACAGCCTGAAGAATAGCTTTTGATTGGCATTCAGAAAAAAGGGTTCGAAGGCTGTGGCGCTAGGGTCACCAATGAGCGCCTGAACCAGTCCATGACTAATTTGTAGCAAGGCTGCAGATGGTTGTAAAACATAGTCGACCCTTCAAATCAGCGCCAACAGTCATCGCTTCAAATTGTGGCACGCCTCTATGGCCGCAAGCCATGCGCCCCCAACTTGTTTCAATATCACGTGCGAAGCCGGGGACCCTAAGGCCTAAGCCTCAAAGTGGAAACTTGACTCGCTTAGGTTTTCTTCCTGTTAAGAGATGTCACTTGAGAAGCAGCTGCTGGCGTTCAGCGTCATGGTCGTTTTGGTGTCGAAGCGTCTAAGATACACAGCAGGGTGAGGCATCACATCCATCCACGCAAGCGAACGCACGTTCCTACGAGGGACGGAAGCCTGTCTTTGATTTGAAATTTTAAATGTGGTTATTGCATCTGTGTTTTTCTTTATTGTGCGGCCTCTTTTTCGTTGTGTGGTTCATTGTCTGTTTTCTTCTCGGCATTTTCTGGGTTTTGCGTATTTCTGGTTCTTGCTCATTTTTTCTCGGTTCAATGCACCCAAAGTTGGTTTAGATGATGGGATGATTTCGGGCTTAAGTATTTCTACTTCGAGGCATGCCCCATTTCAGTAACGGTTACCACAAGAAAGAAAGGACGTCATAATAGCCCCTTCATATTGCCCCTCCTTCAAGGACAGTGACTGTAAGGCGGAATGGCCCAATGTCTACGTGATAGAGGGAAGATCTGGTGTGCCACGGGGTGTTATGGGTGTTGCAGTCGAGTGTGTACTACGTGGACCCCCCCCCCCCCCCCCCCC